AAAGTTCAACATAAATTTCATGATTTCAGTTTATTTACCCATGCCATCTGACATTGGACACTATAAAATCAGATTCATTTAGTTGTTCTTACCTAAATTATTGGCAATTTAGGTATTCATAACATGTTCTAATAGTTTGATTTTAGAAAGTGTATGTAACGTTAATTGACTATTCATAAAGACATATTGTAATTAAGTACAACTAATCTAGAAAGTTTTCTTTCCTATTTCGGGTTTAATGCAAATGCGATAACAGATGTAAAAATCTTAGGGTAACACAGAAGACATCCAAAACGACAAAAACATTATGAATATTACTTGCGTACATGTAGTAAAATAAACAAGAAGTACCTTTAAAAAAAGAAAATACTCGGCCGGAGTAAAACTGTTTATTTGTATATGTAAGTTCTGAGTTTTCCATGCAAAGTCATAAAGAAATGTTAGCTTAGCTTGCATTACAATGACATGATAATTTCTTGTTTGGTTATTAATCTTGCAAAATGGAACACTTTAAGTTATGCATGTGTTTCTATACAAACCTGTCACGTTCGGTAAGAGAAGTCACTTTCAAACACAACACAACATCTGAGCAGTCGGTAATTATTTTTTATAAATACTTTACTTTGATTTAATTTTTTTATTTGATTTGCTCTTTTTTTTTAATCATTCATAACACTATATTAAACACAAAAGTAGCAAAGGTGTTGAACCATGAGTTCTTACAACATCAGCAAACGGTTCTTGATCTTCCCTGATATATGAAATTACCTGATAATAACAATAATTGTATCATAGTTTGGAGACCTTTCTGTTGAAATTGTGTCAGGGTTAAATCGTATACATATACATGCACAGTGCGTTAACTGGAGTGCGGGTATAAGTTACCTGCACTCAAGAGCATGCCCATTGATTGGCTCATTTTTGCTGGGGTTTACATATTGTGACGGCAGTGAAAGTGAAATCGACAGAAATGTCATATTTAGATGCTCGTTCATTTGTTCATTTTTGCCGGGATTTCATATTGTAACAACAGGAAACGTGTTTTTATGTTTGACTATGATACAAAAGAGAAAGAACACCAAAACACTCGGTAATCTGATTAATACTCGGGGGCTAAGCCCCCCTCGTACAAATCAGATAACCTCGTGTTTCGGTGCTCTTTCTATTACTTAGACAGTTACAAACCAAATTGGATGATAATAGAGCAGTTGGGGAAATATGCACAAGGAGAAAGAAGAAGAAAAATAAAATAAAAGGGGGATATTATTATTTATATAATTAATATAAAAATTTTAAAATTCAAATCTACACGATGATTGAATAAATATTTGTAGCTTATCAAAAATAAATTAGTTATTCTCATCAGAAAGAGATTGTTTTCGTCTTTACGCTCACAGGATGGAAACTGATCAAAGAATAGACTGAAATAAATACTTGATTAATATGCAAAAATATATAAAAACTATAAACATGATATCAATTGAACACACCGATAATCATATAATATGTTAGACATTTACTGAACATAATTAACGAAGGGTACCTGATGAGGTCTGATATTATTCTCGTTATTTTGGACAATTTTAAAACTCAGATCTTGTGTAAAATAAACTCAGTACGTTCATTCTTAACTTAAACCGTTTACTAGAAAATGTATTGGGATCTATATGCAAGAACTATTGTAGAGAGTTTTAAAACTATCCTGTACATTTTATTTTAAAACTATCCTTTTCAATATATTTCATAATGGCAAGAAAAATCCATACGTTTTAGTTTTATTACTATCCTAGGACTATCCTTTACATTTTATTTGAGAATGGCCAATGAGATTCCCTGGTCTCATGTAATTTAAAAACTCTTCTTATATTCAGTTCTTCCTTGTAAATTGTACAGGAAGTCAAGCTTTTAAAAATATTGATCGGAATACTTGACTCTTTCGTGATTGATGACTTTAACTACGTCTCAATATTTTGAGTATCAAATGTTAAATATCGTTATCTATTATAGGGATAATGTACGTCACTTCCGGTTTGAGATCGCACTGAATATCAGGTAGCAGCTCTTACATTTGTTCGATTTTTGTCGTTTTAACCACCTCCGTGGTCGAGGGGTTAGAGTCGATAACTTCTAATTCAGTTACTTCTCTGGCGTGGGTTCGTTCCCGGGGAGATGTTACTCTCCAGGAACGATGGTTAGAAAACTACCCGCCTAAATGACTGAAATACTGTTGGGAAAAGGCGTAAAATGAAACAAACAAACAAAACCGATAATTTTACGCATACATTCTGAAAAATCCTTATTCTATTTGATCAAATATTAAAATCGGCATGTGAATATGTTGGCCACTGACATTTAAGACGTGGCGCTTTTGTTAAAAAAAACTTGATAAACTACATCCTAATTTTTACAAAGTATTTTTAAAGGGGTGGTTTTTCTACCCCAATGCACCCGTTTGGGTGAATTGGGTAGTTTAAAATTTTATTTAAATGAAAAAAAGATTTTAAAAGAATATTTCATCAATAAACTTAATGACCCGAATTCCCTGATGTACAGTGTTATTATAGATCAATTTAGTTTGTATGAAAGAAACAATATAAATACTATATGTGTGGTGTAAATCTATAAAGTCTATGTTAGAAAGTCTTGGAAATGGATTTTTGTGTAATAGTTTAATTAAACGTAAATTTGCTCTCAATAGATCTGTTTACTAGAAGACTTAAAGATCAATATATTCAGGAATGGAATGACTAAATATGTAGCCAAGTTGAACCTAAATTGAATTAATATAAATTATTTAAAACAGATTTCAAATTCTAAAAAATACATTGTTGATATTGAAAAAGAATCACACAGACAGCAGTTGCCAGAATTCAGATTACATTGTTCATTGTTTAGAAATAGAACAGAAAGAAATATATGCTTTATCAATTTTAGAAATGACAAACATGACTCCTATTCTATACAAAAATGTATGATAATTATCAAAATAGAAGCTGGTAGATTTAACAATATACCTAGGTCTAAACGCAAACGTTAGATGTGTAATCAAAGTGTTTGTAAAATTCAGAATATAATTTTTTAATTACTTTGATACCCAAAGTACTATGATCTACGCATAAAATACAATATAAGATAAACATTTCCTAGTATAATAAATTTGTCTCCGTTTTGTTTAACCAAAATACGTATACCAAGACATTGAGAAAATTGTCAAAAAATTTGCACGACCGTCTTAAACTAAGAGAAAATTATTCAACCTTTTAGCTGCTTCATAGTTAAATTTTTGTATTTCATTTATATATTTATTGAATTAGAACATGTGTTAAGTTCATTCTTAATGTAAGTTATAGACATAACATCACAATAATCATAAATGAGCCGCGTCACGACAAAACCAATATAGTGCGTTTGCGACCAGCATGGATCCAGACCAGCCTGCGCATCCGCGGAATCTGATCTGGATCCATGCTGTTCGCTGTCAGTTTCTCTACTTGTTATAGAGTTAGTAAGCGAACAGTGTGGATCCTGATCAGACTGCGCGGGTGCGCAGGCTGGTCTGGATCCATGCTGGTCGCAAACGCACTATGTTGCTTTTGTCGTGACGCGGTTCAAATATGAATTATGGCCTCATTTACCTCATAATCGCATTAGTCGCCTTACTTGTAGTAATACGATGATTTAAGACTTATAAAAATGGAAAAGGAAGAAAAATTGAGATAAAGTTGTACATGAATTTATCTTTAATATATCGACATATCAATATTTAAGGTATTGACAAAGATTATTCATCTGATCGACATGAATTGTACTACGCAATAGGCACACATTTGTTGAGAACAGTTCTGGTTCGATTGAAATTTAAAAAAATAATAGCAAAAGAAAATTGCAGTTACGGATATTGGTTTACAGATTATCGCATATTTGTAAGTTTCCTTTTTGATAGATATCTTTATGATTGCCTTTTAATTTACGTAATTATTATTTCCTTTTCCGGCAATATAATAATTTAATCGATGTTATTTCAAAACTGCATAATGATAGATATATAGAGAAATACCATGCTGGTGCCCGAAATTACAAAAATGTTCACACAGGGCTTAGAAAAAATGAAGGACGAGGCTCTTCATTACAATGAAGTAGTTATTTCGATACGGAGAACAAGAATTATTTATAAAAAACTTTCATACTTTTTTGTAAAATCATATACATCAACAAGTTTCTTTAAGGTATTTACTAAGGTAGTGATCTCCCTTAAAGGATTAGATCTCTACCATCACAACATTTTCGTCAAGATAATTGACGATATGATTTATTATCAATGTTGATATTTATTAGTTAACACGGTTTTGTTAATGTTTCAAGACCGTAAGGTGTTAGATGTGAACTAAAATACAAAAAATTTCGGAAACATAAATATTATGAAAATAATTTTGATATCGCACCGTTTATTTAAGCTTTCGAAAGAGAAATCATTCAAGTAATTTCGATTCTACAATTAACAAAAATGATTTTTTTTCAAGCATGCTTGACACCTGAGCTCAAAGTTATAATGTCGCTGTTTATTACAGATAAAACAAATATTCAACGATTTCTTTTGCCTGTCTGCAATCTTGACACAATCATGTGATAAGACAATCATCGCGTGATTTGTGTGAAAAGCAGCGGTTATTGGCCGTAGCGTAACCGGTGCACGGAATTTGGGTATTTTAATGTTACATGCTCGTTCTTGTTTTATACGAATAGTATGATATTGTAATTTTTAATCAAATGCTATTCATTTAAAAAAACCCTTCTCGTACATTCCTGATGTTAACGTTTTTAGAGATAAGATATGTACGGTATCTAGACGCCATAGTTATTTGTTTTTTAGCAAAGTCTATCGATGTTTCCCATTTAAGCGTACTTGAGCGTACTTGGGCTGAAAGAAAACTTAATACTTGACACACATGTCCCCATATACTTTAAGACAGGAAATACACCGAGTTACAAAGTTTATTCAAATATAAAATATGGAATCATGTCAGTAAGTCGATATTTGAATACTTTACAAACCAAACCCAAAAAATTAGGTTGCGTCTAATAAATATACAAATGAAACACTGGTATGTACAACATCGTCATCGTCAAAATACGTCATGTTTAAAAAATATCACTAAATGTAACAAGTGACACACATAACATAGATAGCGGGTTAAATTTAGAATAATGAAAATACATTTTATTTTCTGTTTCAGATGCCATTGTTCAGCATATAGGATGGAACACAATACAGTTTTAACAATATGCATTTTCGTGTGCCTGCTTACTCATCAGGGTTTGTGTTGTGTTGTTAAATTTCTCCGGTCGTTCGCGATTATTTATTTCAACAATTTTAAGTTTTGAAAATTTAGAACTAATCAAGGCGGTGCTAGGAGTCGTGAGGGATGTTGCACTTTTTGATTTCCCTCAAATAGAGACTCAGTCAAACAGAGTCTGCAGTTTTCATGTAATGAAATTGTGTTGTGATTAATGTTTCCAATGGATAACAATTCTTTGTTTTGACTAATAAAAACATGACGTAATATTATTTTCGTATAGGAAGGTCAAACTCATATTATTTCTTATTAGCGACTTAAATTCAAGTTACATTTACATTATTTTGTTATGGCATTATTCTCTTTCAAATTCTGAAGTAATAGAAGATGGTCACCTGTTTAGAAAAAGTATAAATCCTATCTTAGGGTAAGATTATATAACAATATTTTGAAATTGTTACACATGTTACACATGTGAAATATGAACGTTATGTTCACACAAACAAGACAGAGGTATTCCGATTACGCAGTGGTACGTGAAAAGCATGACAACCTATTTCTTTATATGAACACACGCCGAATTACTGAAACAGCGATAATACATCTTTCATGTTCGTGCATTTACATCTACAGAAGCCCTCAGACTTAAAACATCCCCTGCTGTGCATGGTTGGTGTTTCATTGCGCCCTCGTGCTTCTGCAGATGTTTATGTACTAAAAAAGGTAAATAAACCCTTTAGTGATTATAACAATAAGACATTATTACAAATCCCGTATTATATGTATGGTGTCATCGATAATAAAAAAATTTAGATTATATTTCACAGCGTATGCAGTTTGTGACTTGCAGTCGCCATTTACTATCTCGGAAGAAGCACCAAATGGTATGTGTTATTTTTAAGTTTTTAGTGTGCGTGCTTGTGTATGGTCTAAATAAACAATTCATACTAAGTATACTTGAATATAATCATAAATGCGGATCCATTAATTTATCAAGCGGTGTGATTGCCAGTATTTCAAATATTCATAATTTGTTTAAGCAAATAATTATTTCATATTGAATTTGTCTCACTTTACTTTAGACCTCTCCGTTGTTTAAAATATGATAAACAATATCAACAAGGAAAGACAGCGTTCAATTGAACGTTACGTTTCCAATGGATGCTCAAATCAGAGCTGTTTTAGTCTACTGGGATTTATCTCATGTCGAAGTTTATTTACGTGGGAAGTATCCATCATTCCTTGAGGAAAAAATCCCAGCCAAAAACAATCGTACATAAGTCAGTGATTCGAAATTCGTCAGAGAGAAGGATTGAATTTCCTCAAGTTCACAGAAACAATAAAGAAATTCCATCCAAACTTAACTACTTGATAATTAAGTCATCGTAAATGCAGCAATGTATAAGACGTCTGAATAAAAATTTTATCCATAAATTTATAGGCACTGTTATTTTAAATACCACCAAACTTCCGGGAACAAATGCGTCGTTTACCATTAAAAATCCAACACAAGGAGGTGTCGGTGTCGGCCTGAGGGACAGACTTTCGTTAATTAATGATAACACAACCTTTCAACTCATAAATTCGGAAGTCCTAGATCTTGAAGAATTCATGATCACGGTTAGATATGTTATAATAAAAATTTGTGTAATTTTTAATATGGCCAATAATTATTATATTTTGTTGACCATACAAACCATACAACTGTATAATGGAAGTTTTTGATTTATTTCAATTATTTCAGAGATTTTTTGTACCATTTCTGTTTTGTTATCTCTTCAAACTGAATTCATTTAGTTAGTTATGTACACTGATATTGAAAAATTGTCAAAGAATATCAATTATATTACATAATTTATTTTGAAAAGATGATATGCAAATGCTGAATATATGTAGTTCATTTCTAGGAAATAACTATAAATATCATGAAAATTTTATCTTTGTATTTTAGTATGGAGTGGATATTAGTATTATAGAGTTGATGGTCACATGTGGCGGTAAAATTGTAATTATTCTATTTATATGCTATCCTTCCAAATTCAATGCAGCATAATGCAATTATTTGCGATTAATGACTCGTTCTTTTCATGAGGAGTATCAAGGAGTTAAAAATGTTACATATATTTTAAAAAACGAGAATAAAAATCAATTAAGGCAAAGGCAACGTTCATAGAACGCAGCCCCCGACACACCCAAGCAGGGCCCCCAGAATGCACCAAACCAAAATTTGGAGTGGAAATAAGGGCGGCGAAACGAGAGGGACACGTTAAGTGTGAAATAATAAAAACTAAAACGGGCCCATATGGAAATTAAAGGAATAGGGACTGTAAGGGTGAAAAAGGGTTGGGTAAAAAAAATCGAACGGGGGGTGGGGGTGAGAAAATACCTACAGTCAATGACAATCCAGCAAGGCAGTCATCATTAAACATTTAAACATTCAACAATTAACAATACAGACATGAAAAAACGTAAAGGAACACAGAGGGGTACCACATTGAAACGGTCAGTGGTAGTTACACCACTTGGAAGTTTAAACCAGTTTTAAAATCTTGTTAAATCACGTTGAAATATATGTATAACAGACCATAAATTGTTTTAACATTATAGATAAGAGCCATTTAAATATTCAATGACTTTCTTAAGAAGTGGTCGTTATTCAAAATAGTATACAAATTTATACTGTTTATTACGATATAACCGCATACCTAGAATCATAAACATTTTAACAATACCCAAACAACAATATTTCTATTATGCCTCTTGCTATTGTTAACACAAAATACAGAATATGGGTAAGTATGACTACAGATGAATCTAAAACGATAAGAAAACATTGACTTTTAACTTCAGAATGAAGTGTTTATTAATGTGGCAGGAGTAAACGAATTCCCTCCCGTTTTTAATAACCGCCCATACAACGTCACGTTGAAAGAGGTATGATTGTAATCATTATTCAAGTATTGTGTCATTTGCTTTACGATGAGTACAAGTACATCTATTTGTTTGTTTGTTTAACTATTATATGATATTAATGAAAATATAGATACTTAATGAAGATAATGATAGTAATGTGTTTGATGCTTAGATATAATACCGAAAAGTATGCCTTATGCATGTATTTTAATTTATGATATGTACTTGTCATGTAAATGTGTTTGAAATAGCTCGACCTTTCGAAGAAGAGAGATAGCGGTGGTCGGTGTCAACGTCAAATTTTGCAGGAAAAGTACGTGGTATTTCTATATAGATGCGGATCAAAATATACCTCTTTATAGTAAAATTTCTTAAATATCTTATTACCTATATTGGCATGTTATACATGAATTGAGTATTATATAATATAATACTGAAGGGATACGGTTCACTAAATAATTTTTCCATATATCTAAAACAAGATCATCATTTGCCAATTTGATATACGAGTACTCTTTAAAGAAATTTTGTCCATATTTTCTTTAGTCTTTGACTGTGGGTTCATTAGTATTTTCCCTGAGACCAAGGGTTTTTGATTATGACGTCGTTGATGCTGAACAATACAGTTTTGCCATACAAAAGTACAGTTTAACAAATGTAAGTAATTTACTTTGTTAACGAAATATTTCTAATTAAAAAATTGCTTGAGTTTGGAGATCGCAACAAAAGTACCTTTTTTTATTTTTGGAACAAGCCATGATCTTATTTTGTACAAGAGTCGGACAATTATAAAAAGCAGATTTTAACTAGTTCTAACACTGATATATGCATGAAAAGAGTAATAAATTAAATTGTAAGATCAAAACGAAACATAACCGTTCATAAACTGTTCGACCTTAATTTATAGTATGACGGTGCAGCCTATTTCGAAATACCAGCATCGTCGAGAGGAGACATAACACTAGCCAGGAAGCTGGATTATGATACCATGGCGAGAAGCAAACTTTTTCTCAACCTGAGTGTATCCGTAAGTTGCATACTAATACACCACAAAAACAAAAACATATTTCATAGTTGGTTATATAGTTATGAATAGATAGTAAGTATAATTTCAATCCGCGTGTCATGACTTGAAGTGGCCGAATGGTTAAGGTCGTTGACTTCAAACCACTTGAACTTTACCGCTGTGGTTCTAAACCCCCCCAAAAAGGGCTTTGGGTTTCCGATGTAAGAAGGGTTTCCAAATGATTTAAAGGGAAAGTTGTTTAAAATTTTTTTTTACTCCCGGGGGCCCGTTGTGTTAAAAATAACCATTGAAAGGGGACCCGTTTTGGGCGTTCTTTCCAAACCAAATAAAAAAGCTGGGAAAATTTAAATGTGACCTTTTACCGTTGGGTGGTACGAGTAAAAACCAAAAAAAAGATGGGTCCCCCCCCCCAAATAAATGGGGGGGGGGGAAAAAATCCCCAAAATTCTGTTTGGGAAGCTTTTATTTTTTCCCCCTAGACTGGGGGCATAAACCCGAGAAAACTGGGACAGAAAATTTAAAAAACTTATGGCTATTTTCTTTTTTTAAAACGACAAAAATTTTATCGAAAAATGAGTCAAGATCAAAAGGGGGTATTGCTTTTACTGCGATTTTAGGGAATATAGATAGCCTTAAATCAAAAATTCTCCCCCCGGGGGGGGGGGGGGGGAATTGGGTGAACCCCGGGGTTAAAAAAATTATTAAAATACAACATATTGTTTAATTTCCGTTGTACTTGTTTAAAAAATAAGTAAAAAAAAATTTGTTTACAAAGGGTTGACCCCGGATAAAAATTTTTAATATAGCATTTCTTATAATTTTTTAGAAAAACTTTTAAATGGGTTTTTTATTTTTGTTGCAATTTTCCAAATTTCTGTTAAATCCGATATTTATTTACATCGCCGCCCAAATGTCGAATCGGCCAAAAAGACAAAAAAGCATTTTTTACAAAATTATCAAAATTTTTTTTTTCCCCCGGGGAAAGAAAAATATTATGTAAAAAAAATAATTTCATTAAAAAAATGTCCAGAAAAAAAAACAAAAAAACATTTAAAAAAGCTTTAACAGTTTTTTAAGTTTTATTTACTGAAATGAAATAACATTTTTTTTTTTTCACAGGATGCGGCTCCGTCAAGCCCTAACGCCAAGACATCTTTAACCCTCTTAGAAATACACGTGACAGATGTCGATGATCAGCCTCCATACTTTGAATATCCTGATTGTCCCCCGCCATGTCCAGCGCCACAATTTGTGTCTATTATAGGACTAACTCACAAAGTACGTGTATTTATTTAATAAATAGATAAATGAAAGACCGAGTGCATCGACAATAATAAACATAAAAAGGCGTGGATGACGTTACTTAGTAACGCTGTTCAAACTATTGTAGTATACATGGTTTGATACAAACATTTTTTCATTGTCATTCTATTAAGATATATCGATATTTAGCTACTTTTCCTCTTCCGAGTACATATGTACAGCTGTTCAATTTTCATGTGTTTCAATTTAGTTTTGTTTTATCTTGTTTGTTTAAATAATAAGCAGTTTTCTTGAAATTTAATGATTCAATGTAAGATAATAATAACAACAACTACGACGACAACTACAACAACAACACAAAAAAGTATCTTAAAGCTATTATTTTAAAACGCATTCTCAATGAATTGGCCACTTTGAAATTAGAAACTGAGTTTTGTTTTTGTTAAGTGTTGATTGTCAAAAATAAAGGTTCTTGTAGGTTATTATTGTTGTTATATGGCACAGTATCTTTAAGAGGTATTTTTTTTAAATTTTGAACCAACTTTGTATATAATGAGGTGTTTTAATAACGGTGGCTGATTGTTGCCATGTCATAATTTTTAGTTCCGCTTGGTCCGCCAAAGGAGAAAATACGTATCATTACAAAATGACGAACTTTTGTCGTAACTTTTGACCCGACAAAAATTAGTAAATAAACACGAACATACGACAGAGTCACTACTTTATTGTAAAATCGTATTTTCGCATTGCGCCTCGGGGGCGAATGAACGACGGATCAGTGGTGACATTCGGTATTATTTTTCGCCAATGCCGGCCCCGGAGCGAAAGTATGATAGCGTGTTAAACTTTTGTCGTATTAACGGCGGGCCCCGCGAAACAAAAAAACACGTTTAAAACACAAATTTGCCACCAAGTTTTTATTCTGTTTTTTTAAAAGATACAAATTTTATTTTTTGGGCATGACATATCTAAAAAAAGGTATTTAATTTTGGGAATTTTAAAAAAATTTCCAAAGGGGTTTCAGGGACTTACAGGGTTTAACCCGGGCTTTTTCGGAATTTTTCTTTTATTTTTTAAAACGATTGTTTAAAATTTTATCATTTAGGGCAATTACCATTCTACTATTTTTCATTTTTTTCCCAAAAAGAGAGGGTTATCCTACAAAAAAAAATTGTACAAATTATCCCTTTACAATATTCAAAATTTTAAACAGTTTCATTACCACATCCAAAATATAAAACTTTGATTTACGGTACTTGTAGGGACATATATGCCATGTTTCAATAATGACATTTCATGATACTTGTTTTCATTAGAATAATATTACAACTTTAAAACCGGTACTTTTAAAACAGTTGAAGGTCAGACATGTTTAATTAACTGTGCATTATATGGTGTTATCACTCAAACAAAATGGTCTTGTATCGATATTGTGATTTAATAGGTTTCTACGTTTTTTTTTCAAACAATGTGAAAGCTCACATAAATATTTTTTTATATTCATTAATTGTTCTGACATACAAACTTTAAATAATATTTTCATTAAATTTTGAACCTATGTTTAGCACAAAAATCATAAAATCAAGACTGTGACATGTTTTTCAGGTTCATTCAGGGTGCGTGTTAAAGGTGACGCAAACTTAAATATAATGTAAGGGTTAGGGATAGCCCAACTTCCTGATATCAAGATGAATAGAATAGAACTTTTGTACCTGAAATTGTCTGATAATGGGAAATGCAGTTTTATCACTATTTTTTTTATATTTATCTAGGGTCCACTGTCAATAATTCCAGCCATGCGAGGGAATGACTTCGACAGTCTTAGGACACCTCTAGTGTATTCAATTGAAGCTGGTGAGTTAGCAGTAACATTTTTATATTAAAGTGAAATTCTTATTAGATTCACGATTTAAAAATGAGAAATCTTGAACTGGGTCAAAGTAAAAATCAGAACGCTTTCTGACTGGATATCACATATTCAAGCAAATTGTTACTATAAACTATAATGCTACACATGCCAACATAAATCAATGACTTAATTAAGTTACTACTATGTATTGTAACTAATCAGCGCTTTTATCAACAACGAGAACTAATATTTTC